CTAGTAGGATTGATATATATAAGCTAGGGCAGTCAACTACTTTTATACCCTATCTTGTTGAATGTATCATTATGTAGAACTTTCCTATAATTTCATTTTATATCTATAAGGTTTATTTAATAATATTCTCTGAGTTATGTTTATTATCTTGCCGTTCGAATCGCGAGCACCTAAATTTCTCTCCATTCCACTTCATAGTAAATCCTTAGCAAGATGCAAGAGTAACTTGGTTGGAGTCGGCTTCATTTTAAATTTATCTTTGTCATTAGTTTTGCTTTTCCTTTTTTTGACTTATATAATTATTTTTGATTTTCCCCTATTTTTTTTAGTCTGGCGCGCTTGGAAGACCGTATACCAACCACTCTGTGCAGATTAAGGATAAATGGCAACTCTCTGACCCTCCATCAGATGTACAGTCCGACCTTTATCTCACAGACTCCAGTGAAGACCTAATGGCGAACTTCACATCTGTAAGTGCTTTACCATGCTTTTATGAATTAATTTAAATTTAAATCTATCTGTGCGCATCTGTATGGTATGCTCTTATAAAGTTAACAATTGATTATGCCTCCATCCTAAATTTGATACATTTGTGGGGCCCTAACATCATTAAGCATTCTCTCTCATTTAAATAACTTTAAAATTGGTGTTGGTTTACATTTTATTTAATTTGAAAATGTATGTAGAAGGGAATAGTAAATTGGCTTCACTGGAAGCCGAATAATCTTAACCTGTTGCTATATCCGACAATATTAATGCACTTATTATAGATACAAATGCTTATGTTATAGCAGCTTCTCACCGGTGAACTAGGCTCATGATAGGTTTTCTCTGAATGAGATGGAAACCTTCAGCAACTTACTTCAAGCACAAGAGGTGTTTTTATGTAAATTAATCTTCATTAAGATACTCCTGATAAATTAATTATATATTTTAGTAACCATTTATTCTATTCATCTATAAACTTGTTTTCCTTTCATTTAGTCCATTAATTTTCTTTGTCGAGTGGTTTTTCTGATGGAAAGCTATTCTTAGACTCATAAGATTGTTACTACTAGCCCTATTCATTATTTCAGTTGATATTGAAATCTTCCACTGATCAATTGGGGATTTTTTTATTTTTCAATTCTGTGACAGTGATTTTACATTCCCATCCTTATAGTGTTTCGATCTAGTTTTTGGTCTTTACACTATCACCTTAATGTTTTGTAGTTCATCCTGCTTTATACTTTCGCTAGCCTCTATCTAGTGCTTTACTAGGCTTTATGACAAACCGAGGCCCATATCTTAGGGATGCCACCTAAAATGTCATCTCGAGGATATTTTTATCTTATTTATGTTCGTGGCTTATATCAATTAGTATTAATCGTTACTAAGGCTCTTACTGAGCAACCTTATTTCTGTTATACTAATTGTGTCACCTAAATGAGAAATATCATGACCACTTTTAAATCGAATGTTTGCGTGGATCTTGCTTCTATAGAGCCGAGTTAAACAGTTGTCTTCATAACTGTGTATGAACAACATGTTAAAGCAATAAAATCTGATGATTTGTATTTTTTAACTTATTCGTTGACTTTTCTGTTTTTACAGGACTCTAAGGAATTTGGCCTCTCTTTGATGGATGAGGTGCTGAAACGATTTAAGGACATTGCCTTGTCGACAGATGGTGCTCCGCTTGCTTCCTTGCCCCCAGCTTCATCTCAAGATACTTGCCCAGTTTCAAGCGGTTGCAACTTAGCGCCAGAGGTTATCTTACCTCCTGGAAAAGAAGATGCTTCATCAACAAGCCTAGATGGTCATGACGTTTTGCCACATGTTCCTATCATCGCCACTACCGATGTCCGAGTCACTGCTATAGATTCACATAAATCTACTAATTCCTCTTTTGATTCCTCGTCAACTCCTCTACAATCCCCATCTTTATCCCAACTTCCGCAACAACTGGCTACAATCGAATCTTGCACTCGGTTTACTTATGACGCATCTGATGACCACGTCAAACAACAAGTCGCATCTTTAGGAGTAGATTCAATGGCTGACTTTGAGCTAGCGTAAGCGCAGCATTTTGACTTGCGGTTTTTATAATATTGTACTACTAACTCTGCTACTTGGCTCATTTTACTAACGCTATAAGTATTTTCTCCTGTTCTATCACATCCCCCAATTCTATCCTCTGCTGTCCTTTAATGATAAGCGTTCTTTCGTGTTAGTATGAGACTAAAGCATTATTTACTTGAAAAAAAGAAATGATTTTTCTCAGGATCACTTTTAAGTTCAAATGGTAAGAACAGTTTGCCTACTGATTATAACTAGATGTTTCAATGCTATAGGAAAATGCCTTTTGGAAAGGATGTGTGTGTGTTTGCTTTCGTGACAAGTTCGCATCAGTACTTGATCCACCCTGATATTTAGAGGTTTGTATCTAGCATATATTTAAAATTGGGAGTGCATACAAGTTAGAAGTTGTGGTAGAGGAAGAAGGTAAGTGGATGCACCAGGACAAAAGAAAGAGATAGATGGTTGGAGGAAGAACTTGTCTCTGATGTGTTTTGGCTTGGTGTTATGCCTACTACGATTCCGGCTAAACGCTTGAGAATGTACCAAGTCCCTTGGCCTATCTTATAAATTCTCATGAATACTGTGGCAGTTGATTTCTGATTAGGTGCGTTCATCGATGTCGTCTTAACAATACAGGCAAATTAAGAAAACGAGGTCAAGCCATTTCACTACAGCAAAATGGACTGCGACCAAAATGTAGGTCACATCATTTTAGCTTTCTTATCTGCGATTAAACTATTTTTACTTTATCTATAGGCAGCAAGAGAGGTAGGCATATGAAATGATCCTAACAATTGGGCGATTTAATCAGCATGTTTCGGCTTAATTCTACCTGGAACGTTAAAAAGGTTTTATTTCATCCCTACATACATACAAGCATTCACATACACATTGAAAAGCTGAATAAAGTGCATGCAGATAACCAAACTTATTTGGAAGTCACGCTACACGTATTTCTTAAGGCATCACCTCCGATATCCCCAAATGACTGTAATCGACATAAGAGGGTCAAACTAAACCAATTATAAGCACATTTCATTACTGGAATTAACACAAGTGAGATGTTTGTCGAATAGTCCTTGATTTGGCTGGATGAAAGACTACTGAGTCCTGTCATCTTATGATCGAGGAAGCAGTTAACGACTAGAGTGCAGTTCCATCGCAGATCATAGGCGATTCTCTAAATCTTCCTATTTGACGAATGTCCGATTCCATTCAAAGGACATTCTCACGCAAGTTTAGAACATTTAAAAAGGTTACATCTCAAGATAATCACCGCGATCCACTTTTTCTGGAGTTTTTTGTCCTAAACACTCCCACGATTTAAGTCATAAATTTAATCAGATGTGTTCTTTCATACGAGACCGGCTAGATTTTCTTATATTATCTTACCTGTATCTTTTAACGATTATTGACAGGAAGATGACACGCTATATTTGTAAACCTTTGTATATGGTCTATTCTGTAGGCCATTTACAGATTTTTGCTGCAATGAAGCACCTTCCTGTCTGCATCTCTGTTTTCCACTCTTGGAATCGATTTCTCCTTCAGAATACATTGTTAAAGTGAGTCGAATAGTTTGAAGCTAGCCAATAATACTGCATCCCTAGCTTCCTATGTCTTGCAGGGGCGAGGTAGAGAATCGGAATTAGGCTGACTGTGCATCAGCATGTACATTTATTATTAAAAATCCGCTAGTTATTTAAGAACAAGTTATATTCACTGTGCAGCCTTTATTTCACAAGCTCCGACCCCTTATTTGTCTCGCTCCATCTTCGCACTGTTTTTGTGCTCAGTTAGTGCTCTCAACAGACAGCATCTGGTCTCTGACCCGAGTACATCTTAGTGAGATCGCAGTACCAGGCATACATGCAAGAAATCTAGATGGAGGTTAAATGGCTTTCGTCTCTCGGAGATTCTACTTAGTTCATAAATAAAATGAGATTGCACTAATTCGCACCTTGCTGAGTAGTGGTGATGCGTCTTTTTACAGTTTTTCTCAGCACACT